TTTCTACCTGTTGCATTCTCTAGCAAATGCCACAAGGGGGAGGGCTTTAATGGACAGACATTCATTTTCTCACAGTTTAGGAGGCAAGAAGTCTGAATTCAGAGCACGGGTTCAGGGGAAGGCTTTCTCTCTCTCTCTGTCTCCTGGGTCTAGGAGGTTCTCAGCGCAGGAACCCAGCTCCGAAGGACTCTCTTTGGTAGTAATGAGGTCTCTGATCTCTGCCATCATACTCTCTCCTTTGATCTCTTGTAAGATACAAGGTGGTGCAGGCCACACCCCCCGGGACCTGAGTAGGGGGGTTGCATCCCACCCTGATCCCCTCACATGAATGAGCTCAAAGCTCATCACTGCACCAGATCATATCATGGGCATGATGACATCATTACACAGAACAGCCAAGCCACAGAGATTTCCTGGTCCAGCCACATTTACACACACATGTATGTACCTTGGCGGGGGGGTGGGGTGGGGGGGAACAATTCAATCCATGGCAGTGTTTAACCATCTGTGTGTAGGCCACCTACTGTGGGGATGAGCCATGAGCACCGGATGATGAAGGAGAACTTCATCTTCCAGAGCCTGTGCCCAGTAGGTCAGCAGAAAATGCACGTGTGTGGGTAGAAACTCGGGGCACTGTGCCAACTATCCTTCAAAATCAGTCATGCCTGAAACGCACTCAGGGCTAAAGGACGGTGCAAGCGACGTTCTACTTCTTTACACACTAGAACAAATTTCAGATGCCGCTTGCAGCCACGAGCCAGTCTTCATCCGATGCCATTTTCTACAGGGACATTTGTGCGCTTCAATATTTAATAGGCAAAGAAAGCCGCAGTCATCTCTGGCCAGTTCCTCTTCTCCACAAAGAATAATCGTTCTGCTTTCAAAGAGAAAGTTCTAGAGACCACTGCCCATGTCGGTGTTTCACTAATAGGAATAAAGCCCTCCATGTTCACAACACCAAACCCACTGCCATCGTGTCGGTGCCGACCTAGTACCACCGTGTGGACAGAGCAGAGCTGCTCCCTAGGGGTTCCAGTCTTTAGGGAGGCGCATGGCCACAGCTTTCTCCTGTTAGACGCTCAAAGTCACCTGCTAATAAGCAGCTGAGTCAAGAACGAGACGCCTGGCGTCCCACTGCAGACCTAAACTCCTCTGTCTAGAACACACTCACACTCCGTCCTGCAGAGCCGGGAGCAGAGGCGGGGTTCACGTCAGCCAGAATGTCTCTCTGGATCCCAAGATTAAATCACATTCCTCCTTACACAGTTCACTCTTCAGGGAAGTGAGACAGAGGAAATCACGGAGCAAGGAGCAGCTCTCTTACACGGCTCCCGACCCTGACCATGCTTTTCTGCAGCTCGCGGCTCTGTCCACTGAGCACCTACTGTAGCTAAGACATTGTGCTACATGCTGTTGTTGTTGTTGTTGTTAGGTGCCATCGAGTCAGTACCTACTCATATTGACCTTATGCACAACAAAACGAAACACTGTCCGGTCCTGCGCCAACTCACAATTGTTGCCACACTTGAGCCCGTTGATGCTACCACTTTGCCAATCCATCTTGTTGGGGGTCTTCCTCTTTTTCTCTGACCCTTCACCTTACCAAACATGATATTCTTCTCCAGTGACTGGCCCCTCCTGACAATATGTCCAAAGTATAAGAGACGAAATTTGGCCATCTTGGCCTCCATGGAACACTCTGGCTGCACTTCTTCCAAAACAGATCTATTGGTTCTTCTGTCAGCCCATGGTACTTTCAATGATCTCTTCCAACACCATAACTCAAATGCATCAACTCTTCTA